GGCGCTGAATTCGGGGCTGGGGCTGCAGCGGTGTGCGGCTCGGGTCCGTCAGGGAGTCGTTCTCGCTGCTTCTTCACACTGCTCCGATCGAATTTTTTTTATCTTAATGTTGAAAGATGCGCTCACAGTTTTCCGTGTGCATCATAGCTGAAACAACGCCTTAAAATAAGCTCAGGTTAAGTCAGATGTGCTGGAAAACCCTAAAAAACAGCCTAAAGTTCACGAGGGCACAGAGCTGAGTTACAGATTCATTAGGTTAGGGTCAAAACTACAGAGCAGCCCGGTTGTTACTCGCTGACATGTTTTCTTTGCTAGGACTGACTGATGGTCACAGGTGATGATTAATTTCTTGTGCCCACTTTCACCCTCAATCTCCTGACATAAGAAACTATTAATGAGTAGGTACGCAACCTAAGGACCTAAAGTAGACCTGACTGATTGTTTTTCATGTATAACAGTGTAGGTTTGTGATTCCTTATAGGATTGCCTTTCAAGATAAAGAATGAAGTGATTGATTCTCTCTTTGTAACCACAATACACAGCCTGCCAGTTAAAGATGGCAAGAAAACATCCCCTGCTTGCTCACACTGTTAATCTGTAACAGGTTACTTATAAATGAATGTGAGTCCTTGGAATGCTTTTTCTTATCACAAAAGAGATGAAAACTTGTTTTTACCATTATTCGTTACAATCATTCACTTGAAAAATGAAATGTAACCACACTGTAATTCCTATATTGCCCGAAAGACTTTGTCAACTTATCTAAGCTGTAGAGAAGAGAATACAGTGATAGAATAAAAAGGAAATCAATCAGGAGAGAGAGAGAGAGAAAGAGAGTGTGTGTGTGTCTTTCTCCTTACCTCTCAGATAAAAATGTCATGGTAGGGGCTGGAGAGATGGCTCAGTGGTTAAGAGCATTGCCTGCCCTTCCAAAGGTCCTGAGTTCAATTCCCAGCAACCACATGGTGGCTCACAACCATCTGTAATGGGGTCTGGCGCCCTCTGCTGGCTTGCGGGCATACATAGCCGCAGAATATTGTATACATAATAAATAAGTAATCTTTTTTTAAAAAATGTCATGGTAGACTCCATGGATTTCTTTTGAGCCCTGTACTGCTGCGGCTGGTTCCCCAGGCAGCGGAAAACACTACAGCTGTTGACCTCTGACTTCTACATGAATGCACACATATACACGTGTACTTGTGTATGCACACACACACACAAACACAAGTTTGAAAAGGGGGAGGAAAAACAGGGTATTTGGGGAGAAGAATCAAGGAGAGTTTGCCTGAAGACCCACTTACCATTGTCAGGAATGTCTGTTTGCCCAACACACAGCCCTAGAAAAGAATTAAACATGAGGCTCAAGTTCCCGCCTGGAGTCACCTAGTCACCCTCCCTGGTCCAGAGGGGCACTCTGAGTGCACTGTCATCTTATCACTGGTGTCTCCCTTTGAGGAGTTGCATGATCCCTCATCTGTGCCGTAGCTTCAGCTTATATCTGAGTTTGGTCATTATCACTTTGTTGATCTCACGCCAAGGGTTCCATCTTAGTTCGACAAGCCCCCACAAACCCTTCCAATTCTCATTCGTATCCCCAAGCTTCATACGGTCACCATCCTACTGGGACATGGGTCACATTGGGTCATCGCCTCTCCTGCAGGGAAATGGCACCAGCCTTTAGGACACCGGGGAGATAAGACGTTAGCCTACTCCTAATGGTATCAAGGACCCGAGGAGGAAGCTGGCCATGGTGGTGCATGCCTTTAATTACAGCACTCAGGAGTCAGAAGCAGGAGGACCTCAGTGAGTTTGAATCCAGCTTGGTCTACATAGTGAGTTCAAGAACAGCCAGGATTGCATAGAGATCCTATCTCAAAACAAAGAAAAAAAGACCCTGTGGAGGGAGGTTCAGGAGATGGTTCAGTCAGTAAATCTCTTCCTAAAAGCAAGTTTGATGCCGAACACCCATGTGAAAAAGATCACTGGGGTAGAGTGTGTTTGTAACCCCAGTGCTGGGAAGGTGGAGGCAGGAGGATCCTTTGAGCTCAGTGGCCAGCCAGCTTAGCCAAGCTGGTGAGCCTCAGACTAAAAAGAGACCTTGTCTCAAAAAACAACATGAAGAACAGGAGCAAGGAAGTCAGGATCACAAGGGGTGCACCCACCCACTGAGATGGTGGGGCTGATCTAATGGGAGCTCACCAAGGCCAGCTGGATGATGGAGCATGTGATCAAACCGGACGCCCTGAATGTGGCTGACAAGGAGGGCTGACTGAGAAGCCAAGGACAATGGCAATGGGTTTTGATTCTACTGCATGTACTGACTTTGTGGGAGCCTAGTCTGTTTGGATGCTCACCTTCCTAGACCTGGATGGAGGGGGGAGGACCTTGGACTTCCCTCAGGGCAGGGAACCCTGACTTCTCTTTGGACTGGAGAGGGAGGGGGAGGGGAGTAAGAGAGGGGGAGGGAAATGGGAGGCAGGGAGGAGGCAGAAATTTTTAATAAAAATAAATAAGTGAATAAAAATTAAAAAAACAACATGAATAGCCAGTGAAGAATAACGTGTGAGGTTGACCTCTTGCCCCCACACATTCATGCACATCCTCACACATAGATGAGGCCAGGCAAACATACATACAAGCACATGACTTATTTACAATGTACACAAATAAATCAATGTAATAAAAATATATCTATAATTAAACCCATCATACCTCCACATGGTTTGACCCTTATATGAAGAGCTACAGATGAAGAATGGATGCTGAAAGGAGAATCAGTTCCCTCCAGGAATGAGTTCCCACAGAGGTTGTCCAATGGCACGTGGTCAGTTGTGGACACATATCCATATGATTAAAGGTAAATGGACTAAATAGGTCGTATATATGTGCACATGTGTGCATGCACACGTACATGTGCACACGCACATACACACACAATAAAAGGAAAATATCATGAAAAGACACTCTGAGCTCAATGGAAGAAGTTGTGGGACCTGTGCTCATGCTTGTTTATTTTCTTTTTGGTGCTTAGAGACATGATTTCTCTGCGTATCCTGGACCTTACTCTATAGATCAGACAGACACCCAGCTGTCTCCTGCTCTCAGTACTGGGATTAAAGATGTCCCACCATATCTGTTTGTTATTATTTTTACATCGTGTCTTATATAACCCGGGCAGACTCAATTTCACTATGTAAGTGGATGGCTTTGAATTTTTGACGCTCCTGCCTCCACTTCTACAGAGCTGGGATTACATGTGTGTGCCATGGCAACCTGACTAGAAGTTATTTAATACTGTTTATCACCTATTGTAGTTATTATTACATCAAAAAGACCTAAGCAAGGTTGCACAACCTGTAATCACACCTTTTGAGAGTGTAGAGAGGAGGATCTCTGTGAGTTCAAGGCCAGTCTAGTCTAGGATCTGAGTTTCAGGTTATACAGGGTTGCATAGTAAAAGCCTAACTCAAAGTAATTTAAATATAATAAACAAGAAGGTCTCTGATGTGTCTCAGTCATAACAACCTGGCATCACAGAAAAGAAATAGTTGCTGCTGACTCAACCTTGGCTAGCAACAGCAGATAGAACTTGTCAGTTTTGATTCCTTCCCATTCTTTCTATGTTCTATCTAGTGTGTGTGTGTGTGTGTGTGTGTGTGTGTGTGTGTGTGTGTGTGTGTATGGTCTCAAGCAGTCCAGGTTGGCCTTGAAGTCCCTACTTAGCTGAAAATGTCCTTCAACGTAAGATCTGCCTCTCTCCACCTTCCATGTCCTGGGATGACAGATTTGTGTCACAATTAGTTTATAGTACTGAGGCTGGAACCCAGGGCTTCCCACTCACTAGGTGAGCAAGCACCCTACCAACACAGCTACATCCCCAGCCCCTAATTCCCCCATCTATTTCTACTACATTTGAGCATTGGTTTTGTCCTAACATGTACAATGAGATTCCTGGTTCATTCTACACACTCAAGACACTGATCTGGTATGAGATCTAGCTTCAATCCCCACCGAAAGCATCTCACCATTTTTATGATTTCCTGGAGATGGAGTGGACAACCCAGAACAACTTACGGAGGCAGAGAAGGGAAAGAAGCCTAGGGATCATGGTGGCTCAGCAGCTGCTCCAAAGGTCTACTATCAGCAGCAGAATAGGTCCAGGGTAGTGCAGTCTCTCCAGCCTCGGTGAGTAGGCAGGACTGGTTTTGAGTCCGCTGCTCAGTTCCTTCTTCCCACATCCACTTTCAGGAAATGCGTAGATGGCATCTATTGCAACATGTTCCTATAAACTCTTCAGAGACTTGACGCACTTATCCACTTCTGGCTCAGTTAACTTTCATGTCTTACTTCTGTAACTTCCAAAATGCCTAACACTGAGCTTCCAGGTTCCTGCTTAGATCGTGTAGGCATGTCAGTGCTGAGATTTATGTAAATTTAGAAGCAGATGTGGTAGTCACTAAAATTTGGCCAATACACCTTTCATAACAGAGGTGACTAAGCCTCTCGTTACTTAAGAAGATTCACAGAACACAGACAGATTCTTTCTTTTTTATATATATTTTTTTAAAGATTTATTTATTATGTATACAATGTTCTGCCTGCACATATGTTTGCAAACCAGAAGAGGGCACTAGATCTCATTACAGATGGTTGTGAACCACCATGTGATTGCTGGGAATTGAACTCAGGACCTCTGGAAGAACAGCCAATGCTCTTAACCTCTGAGCCATCTCTCCAGCCCCCTATATATATTTTAGTTTGCTTTATATATCAGACATGATCTGGTATAGCCCACAAGCCTCAAATCACCATGTAACCGCAGGTGATCTTGAACTTCAGATCCTTCTACTTCTACCTCCTGAACCCTGGGATTATGTACATATGGCTTAGGTGGTGCTGGGAATTGAACCCAAGTCTTTGTGTTTGCTAGACAAGACCCTACCAACCGAGTCACAGCCACAGGCCCAGAATGTTTTTCCAGCTCGAGTACATGAGTATTAGTCATAAAGATTATATTTTTATTTGATTTTGGGTTTTGTGTAAGAATTTTTGTTTAGTTTAATTTTTGTTGTTGTTTTGATATTGGGTCTCAATAAGCAGTCCAGGCCTGTCCCAACCTTACCGTGTTGGTGAAGATGACTTTGAACATTTATCCCCCTGTTTCCATCTCCTGGGTGCTGGGGAAAGTTTTTCAATCAAGGAAGCCTCTGAACACATGAAGATGCTCATGGCAAGATTTGGGCTATGGGTCAGGAGTATAGTGCTTGTCTGGAATGCATGAGGCACTAAGTCTCATCTCAATTACCATCCCCAAAACAATCCAGAAAAGGAATGATCTTGGTAGTATTATCCAAAAAAGATTAAACTTGAAGGAGCCCAAGAGAATGATAAACAAATCATGATATAACAGTACAATAGAATTATCTCAGGATTCAAAAAGAACAACATATATGTATGATCATGAAGTCTCTGAAGCAACACAGAGTAGAAAGGATCTGAACACAAAGAATGCACGTGGTACAACTCTAGCTGTACAAAGGTCAACAACAGGAACAATGCCGTCATGGAAAAATCCAGAAGGAATTATCTAAGAGGAAGTAGAAACTGAGCGGAGAGAGTGACAAGGTAACTTTTAGAAGTACTGAAAATCATTTAGTTTTTACCTATACAATTTGTTCACCAAGTTGGGAGACAGAGAACTCCCAACTAGATAATAGGCATGAGAGATGAGAGATATATAGACATCTGGATGTAACAGATAGGTGTTAGCTAGCTAGATGATAGATAGAGTGGATGGCTGACTGCTGGCTGGCCAGACAGATAGACATATAGAAGTCATACAGTGTCACAGTTTGGACATTAAAATGTACGGTCATTTGAAGATCTTGACTCTCTGGGAGTGTGTTCTTGAAGAAGAAGGTAATAGCCTAGCTCCTCTGTTTCCTTCTCTGTTTCCTCCTACCCATAAGGAAAGTAACATTTATTTACAGTCTTTTTCTGAAGTAATAAGCTGTCCCAACAGAGACCCCAAAGAGTGATACCAACCAATCAGACTTAAATCTCAAAAACCATGAGTGGAAACAAAACTTTTCTAATTATAAGTTGATTTATCTTGAGCATTTATTACAGAAACAAAAAGTCAAGTGACAAACTTAGCAAGCTAGCTAGAGAGTTATGAGTCCCTACAGTGTATCCTAAGATTTGTATGTTGTACTTTGTAAATGATACCACTAATCTAAAAAATTTAGGGGGCTGGAGAGATGGCTCAGAGGTTAAGAGCATTGCCTGCTCTTCCAAAGGTCCTGAGTTCAATTCCCAGCAACCACATGGTGGCTCAAACCATCTGCAATGGGGTCTGGTGCCCTCTTCTGGCCTGCAGGCATACGTACAGACAAAATATTGTATACATAATAAATAAATAAATTTTTTTTTAAAAAAATTTAGGGTGCGACTGTAGAGTGCTTAGAAGGTAGAGTGCTTGCCTAGAAAGCACAATGCCCTAGGTTTACTTCCCAGCATAATGTGAACATGATATTAATCCCATAACTTTTACTTAGCCATTAAGGGCACCCAAGGCTCTCGGAGAGGAGCTGAGTCCAGTTCCTAGCAGATACCTAGAGTGGCTTAAAATCTTTAACTCCAGGTCTAGGGGATGTGCTACCGTTTTCTAGCAGCTGTGCACACCTACACTCATGTGCACATACCTACACACAGTCACATACACATACAGATTGTCGCTAAAATCCCTTCTCTGGGAGAGATGTAAACAATATGTACCGGTCCTCTTCAGCACTCGACGACTCACTGAAGTACTGTTCCATCACAGTTCATGCTAAGGCAGTGGTTCTCAGTGTGTAGTTCCAGACACCGTTAGTGGGTCACATGTCAGATATCTTACGTATCAGGTATTAAATAACAGTCGCAACAGTAGCGAAATTACAGGTGTGAAGTAGAAACAAAAATAACTTTGTGGTTGGGAGTAGCCACGAAGTGAAAAACTGTATGAAAGGGTCTCAGAATGAGGAAGGTTGAGAACCACTGATCATGGGGAGCCAATGTGTTTGTTAAGTTTACAGAGCAGTGGGTGAGGAGGTACGGACAGGAGCATGGGTGACTTTAAAGCAGCCACACTGTGAGGTTTCCACCCGGTATGGTGATGACTCCCTGATGGCTGCCTAGACTGGGCTCCTCAATAGTGTCTCATAACCTATATACTTCTAGGCCCCACTTAAGCCACATGCAATTAAGACAGAACTGCATAAAAACTAGTTTCGGGAATGGCTGCATGATCAGGCGAGAGTGCCATGACCCTCCGACTTCCCCTTCTATGGTGGAAGTCAACAGTCACCAAGCCCAGATATGATATTTTTTTTTGTTGAACTCATAAAGACAGCGGCTGTTCAGCTCAAAGACTAGTCCTGTACAGCACACATACTTAAAAATAAAAATCTTTCTTTAAAAGTAGATAAGTAAAAAATAAAAGAAAATGCAAGTAGGTAAGTAAATAAATAATTTTTTTCTAAATTTTTATGACTTTTTGATTTATTATATATAGTGTTCTACCTGCATGTATGCCTGCACACCAGAAGAGGGCACCAAATCTCATTATAGATGGTTGTGAGCCACCACCTGGTTGCTGGGACTTGAACTCAGGATCTCTGGAAAATAGCCAGTGCTCTTAACCTCTGAACCATCTCTCTAGCCCAATAAATATGTTTTTTTTTTTTACAAGAAGGGAATGCATCTTCATTGGAGATTTCAAGAAAGAGAACCCCAGTGTGGCTTCTGTGCCATCTCTGTTCCATCATCTGATGCCTTCCTTCGGGCTCTAGCTCTTCCTCTACTTCAGAAGTGAGCAGTCGTGAGACTGGTTGGTGTGATGGGAGTGTTCTCACTCAGAGCTCTGGTGTCCCATTGAGCATACATAAGTCACTCCATGGGCTTCTTCAGCTTGAGTCCTGGGGTTCTTCATTCTGAAGGTAAGCAAGCAGCAGTATCATGAGGAGTATGTGACTGTGAGGATTGTAGATGCATGACAGTTCCAGAACTGGAGATCAAGATGGGACACAGACAGCATCAAGGAGGAGGGGCAGAGAAGATGTAAATGCAGTGCCTGTGGGTGGAAGGAGACCTGTCAAGTGCTGCCTTCTGGGCTGTTCCATGGATGCACAGACTCACAGCACCTATGGCGACCTGCACAAGATCAAGCTACTTATAATGTCTGGCATGCACAGGGAGTGCCTACACGTATGTCTGTACATCATGTGTACTCCTGGTACCTGTGGATATCAGCGATGTTGTTAGATCTCTTGGAACTGAAGTTATAGATGGTTCTGAGCCAGCGTTTGTATACTGGAAACTAAACCTGGGTCCTATGAAAGAGCAACATTGCTCAAAGAAACCATCTCTCCAGTCGCTACTTATGGCTTTCTGCTAAGCAGGACTGACAGCCTTCCAGTTTAAAGCCCTCAGATTTACTTATAACTCAAAGTAAAAAAAGGTAAATAAAAATAACTAAAAGGGGCCCAAGAATATGGCAGAGCCAGTAAAATACTTACTATATAAGTATGAGGACCTTAGTTTTTTTTTTTAATTTTAATTTTATTCTTCTCTCATGGAGCACATTTCAATCACTGCTTCCCAGTCTCCCTGCCCGTCTCGTCGGCTGCAGAACCACTCCACTCCCCATGTTCCTTCAGAAAATAGCAGGGCCTCCCAGAGACCTTGTGTGACACAACATCCGATAAGAGTAGGCACAGCCCTGACATCAAGGCTGGGCAAGGCAACCCAGTAGGAGAAAAGGGGTCCTAAGAGCAGATAACAGCCAGCAACACCCCGACTTACACTGTCAGGATTCTCCCCAAAACACCAAGACAACAACCATAACACATATGCAGAGGACTTAGCACAGATCCTTTCAGACTCAGAGATTGTTGCTTTGTTCCTTGTGAGCCGCACGAGCCCTGCTTAGTCGATTCTGCAGGGCATACTGTCATGGTGTTCATGACCCCTCTGGATCCCACAATTCCTCCTCCCTCTTCTGCTGGATTCCTAGAGTTTGAAGTGGAGGAACCCAGTGGAAATCTTCAACTTGGGCTCTCTCTCCTTTGACTGTGGGGAGGACCTGAGTTGTTATCCCTAGTACCCACCTAAGAAGTCTGATCTACCAACATGTCCCAGTAATCCCCTACTGGGGAGAGAGAGATGGGAAGATCTCTGGGGCTTTGTGTCTAGATAGTCTAGGCAAATCAGTGAACTCCAGGTTCAGTGAGAGACCCTACCTCAAAACCAGGATGAAGGGATGGAGAGCAAGAGAAATATGGCCTAGTGGGTGAGAGTACTTATTGCTTTTCCAGAAGACCCAGGTTCAATTTCCAGGACCCATTATCAGACAGCTCACAGCTGCCTGTGATTCTAACTCCAGGGGATCTGATACTCTCTTATGGTCCCAGTGGGCATTGCACATATGTCACACAATAAATAAATAAAAATAAATCTTTTAAAACATGATGTAGCGATAAAGGAAAGACACATAATACCGGCCTCCACATGCACGCATGCATGCATAAGCACACGTTTACATCCACAAAACAACCAATAACTTATCAAAAGCATTAAAATTTATTGTATATAAGATACATGTAATGCATATTCCATAAAGTATACATAATTTGCATACTACATCCACAGAGCCAAGGATACCTGAGAAGGTGAACAAAACGCATCTAAAGAAATGAAAAATAAAGCCTTATAGACCATGTACTGACATAATCTTGTACACAGAAACAGATCCATAGTACATGGCTTTGGTTCATGTTCTAGGCAGCATGCCTTATCCATAGGGAGAACTAGGATTGTAGTTTCAGTGTAATAATTGTAAATCAGCGAAGTATCCCATGAGCACCTGTGCCTAGTTCTGTCCTCTGTGCCGTGGAAGGGATGAAGAGACAGAGCTGCCATCCCATCCCTGGATAGCTCTCAGAGACTTGTCAGTGCAGGCTTCATAGAAACCCGAAGAGCTGCTTGTCCACCTTGACCAAGGATTCATAGTGGCCCTGGTGTCCTTCAGGGACTGTGGAGAGAGAAGATTAGATGTGAATTTAGTTGAGAAACATTAACTCTTGTTGTATTTTATTTGTTTCATGTGCATGTGTGTGTGTATGTGTGTGGCCACATGGGGGTGCCACATTAGGTGTGGGGAAGTTAGGGGATAACTTGTGGGACTTGGCTTTCTCCTTCTACCATGTGGGTTCTAAAGATCAAACTCAAATTGTCAGGCTCAGCAACAAGTGCCTTTAGCTACTGAGTCACGTCAACTGCTCCAACATTATTAACTATGTATGGTCTGAAAACATGGGTTCTACTCTGGGTATCCCCTTCCCTACTTCTCATCACTCCAAACTTGAGGTGACTGAAAGCTTCAGTAGGTAGAAGGTGCTTTAAAAAAAAAAACTATTTATTTATTATATATACGATATTCTTCCTGCATGTGTTTTTGCAGGCCAGAAGAGGGCACCATACCTCATTACCGATGTTTGTGAGCCACCATGTGGTTGCTGGGAATTGAACTCAGGACCTTGGGAAGAGCAGCCAGTGCTCTTAACCACTGAGCCATCTTTCCAGCCAGTAGAAGGTGCTTTTAAATAAGATAGGTTTCATGTTTTAAAAAATGTGTGTGAGTGGAGCAGGTATGTGCATGTTGGGTGGGGACTGCAGAGGCAAAAAGAGGGCGTTAGGCCCCTTGGGGCTGATGTCACATTGGTTGTGAACTAGCCTTTGTTGACTCTGGAAACTAAACTCATCTCTTCTCGAAGAGCAAAGCAGGACTTCCTAACCACTGAGCCATCTCTCCATCCCATGTGGGAACTTTCTTTTTCACAAATTTGAGGCCTCGGCAGACATTTAATGGGAATAGACATTGTACTGCTTACTAATCTAGATATGTTAAATATGCTTATGTCCAAATAAACCGGACAATGCAACATGGTAAAAAAAAAATCTACTGCACATAAAATGACATCAGTGCCACTGTGGAAGATTACGAGAATTCTCTACAGTAATCCCTGATGTTCAGATAGTTCCCTACAATGTGGCAACCTCAATAGATAATGGAAATTTTCTATAAAAAGGTAAACTTTTCATAAGTAAGTTCATTAGCTCCTTTGTACTGAACATTTAATTATTAGTGCAACTGCTTAATATAAAATTAATTATTTTGTTCTTTTTCCCAAATTGATTAATGTGTAATCAACAGAAACTAAATATAAAATCATTTGTTATTTCTTTTTCTATTGTTTTTATTTTGTGTAATTTGTTTTTGGTTTTGATGACAAGGTCTCAGAATGTAGCCTTGACTGAGTCTGTAACTCTTTACGTAGACCAGGCTGATCTGGAACTCAGAGATCCACTTGTCTCTGACCCTGAATGCTGGGATTAATGGCATTCACCGCGACACCTGGCCATTTTTGTTTCTCTGTTATAGCTCCATTAATTTAAGGTCGCACAACTCATAACTACCCAACAGTCATGGAATAGGGAAAAACCCTCAGTTCTTTTTACCTGGGTCCGCTTGGTGAAACCCTCTGGCTGTACCAGGCTTCAGCCAGGAAGACTACCATAAGCACCACGTACATGGCGGACATTCCCAGCCTGATGAGATTAATCTTGGCGTAACACTGTGATAAGGCCCTTGGGGAAACTGAAAGAGGGAAGACGATTAACACTGTTTGTAAGGATCGAGCAGATCTGACTTCCTTCCGTCCACTCAGACATTGGCTGGTGGAAGCTGTCCATTCTTTGCAATTATAACCCCTGAACGTACAATGCAGGTTTTAAAGAGAATTATAATGAATTGACATTTTTCAAAAATCTTATTTTCTCATATTCATTCTGTATATTCTACTCTGTTTTTTTTGTTGCCATGTTAAATATATTTCTTTTTTTTGTTTTTTAAATATTTATTATTTATTACGTATACAATATTCTGTCTGTGTGTATGCCTGAAGGTCAGAGGAGGGCGCCAGACCTCATTACAGATGGTTGTGTGCCACCATGTGGTTGCTGGGAATTGAACTCAGGACCTCGGAAGAACAGGCAGTGCTCCCAACCACTGAGCCGTCTCTCCAGCCCTTAAATATATTTCAAACCAAAGCAACTTTGTGGAGGAAAGCGTTTATTTCATCATATAGGTTACCCTGCATCGTCAAGGGAAGTCAGGGCAGGAACTAAAAGTAGAAATTGTGGAGAATAGCTGGAGAAATTGAAGCATGATTAATAAAAACTCAGAGAGAGAAATCTGGGTTCAGCCTGAAGATCTGAAAAGCAAAACAGCCAGCCACTGGCTCTTACCTCAACCTTAGCCTGAAATGGCGATCCTGCTTCCAGAGATCTCAGAAGAGACTGTATCTGAGAGTTAACTCCCCACTGTCTTAAATTCCTTTCTAGTGCTGGGGTTAAAGGCATGCACTACCCTATTTCTATGGCAACTAGTGTGGCTACTGGGATTAAAGGTGTGTGCTACCATAACCTGGTCTGTAAGGCTGACCAGTGGGACTGTTTTGCTCTCAGATCTTCAGGCAGTCTTTATTTATTAAATTACAATTGAAATGCCACTATAAGAAATGGCTCAATGGTTAAAAGCATCGACTGCTCTTCTAGAAAACCTGGGTTAGATTCCCAGCACCCACATGCAACTCACAACCATCCACAGTTCCAATGACAGGGGTTCTGACACCCTCTTCACACTACCTGAGTACTTAGCAGAAATATGGTGTTTAGATATTATATGAATAAAACACTCATACAGAGAAAATAAATAAGTCTTTAAAATGAAAAAAGAAACACTGCATTCCAGCTTGCTCTTAGGTTTGCTCTACTTCCTGCTTAGCTGCTTTTATTTTACATACCAATCCCAATTCCCACTCCCTCCCCTCCTCCCATTCCCTCATGCCCCACCCACCCAGTCGCCACCCCACCCACCATCCATTCTTCAGAGAGGGTAAGGCTTTCCATGGGGAATCAACAAAGTCTGGCACTTAACTTTGAGGTGAGACTAGGCCCTCCCCCTATATCAAGGTTGAGCAAGATATCCCTTCAGAAAGAATGGCTTCCAAAGAGTCTGTTCACGCACTAAGGACAAGTCCTGGTCCCACTGTCAGTGGTCCCACAGACTGCGCAAGCCACGCAACTGTCACTAACATTCATGGGGCCTATTTTGGTTCTATGCATGTTCCCCAGCTGTCAGTCCAGGGTCAGTGAGCCCCCACTAGCTTAGTTCAGCTGTTTCTGTGGGTTTACCCATTGTAGTCTTAATCCCTTTGCTCATATTACTGCTCCTCCCTCTATTCGACTGGACTCTGGATGCTTGTCCCAGTGCTTAGCTGTGGATCTCTGCATCTGCTCCCATCAGTTGCTGGATGAAGGTTCTATGATGACAATTAAAGTAGTCATCAATCTGAGTACAGTAGAAGGCCAGTTCAGGCATCTTCTTCACTATTGCTTAGAGTCTTAGCTGGGGTCATCCTTGTGGATTCCTGGGAATTTCTCTAGTGCCAGTTTCTTGCTAGCCCCATAATGGCTCTCTCTATCAAGACATCTTTTTTTTT